ATGTATAGGGGGAGGGGGGGCCGAGAGGCTGCTTTTGTCTGCTGTTCGGCAGCCTGTTGCTCAGGGGAGGGGGCAGCCTGTTGCTGGCCGGGGGGTCAGGGGGGGCAGCGGGCGTGGGGAGGCACTTTTCCTCTGCCCGGCAGCTCTGCGGGACCCCAGTCGGAGCCGGCCCGAGGAGGAGGAGGATCCTAGGACCCAGGTGAGCGAGCCCCGGGAATGCTGCTGCGCATGTGCGGGAGTTGCCTCACCCCGTTCGTATCTAGGGATCCGACGTAAGTCGGATCCACGTAAGTCGGGGACTGCCTGTAGTATGCCTGTTCCAGCTAGATGCTTTAGCTCAGCCTGTAGAAAAAAGAGCTTTTGAAAAGCAGGGCATTACCCCTTCAGCAGATCCCCTGCAGCCTTTCCAACTATCAACCAAAGTCACTATTGCTTTTCATTCTTTCCCTCTTCAGACCCACTTCCACTTTATTTCTTTCTGTTGCTTACCCACATCTCCATCTCCTTTTGGTCATTATCATCTGTCTCCTTCCCTACCATTGATGTCCCATCCCTCACAAATTAGTAGAAAGAAGGAGGGTATGTAGCCCCCGACCCTAAATTCTGCAATGAATCATTCTGATCTTTCACTGCATGTCATCCCTGGATCTTGTAGCAAAAGTGGAAATTAGTTAGCTGTTTGAAATGTATAGACAAACATTAACAAAATAAAGGGTCCTATGAAATTAAACATTAAGGTCCCAATCCTGGGAGCCCTCCACACCCAGACATCCCTTTATCTAGATGAATATCTTCATGTAATGGGTTTACAGAATCAGGCATTAAAAGAACCACACAATCAACAATTTTACATATAATTCATTAAAATGCTCATTTTCTAAATATGTTTCTAACTAGCTCAGAGTCACAGAGGTTGAAGCTATCATGCCATAAAACTCAGAAAGCCTTACTCCAGAACTGATGTCCCTTGTGCAGCAGTGCAATGTTCAATGAGTTCTGTTTACCAATCCAAGCTACAACAAACCTCAAGAAGTCGCAAAGGAGTTATGCAGGACAATATATCTTATACAACACCAACTACATAGCACAGTTATTAGTATATACTACTGATACTAATAGATATTAAGAATAGAGTTATCAGCTTGTGACATAATAATAATAATAATAATAATAATTATTCATCACCTTCATAGTGTCTAGGGGTCCCAGTCATGGACCAGGACTCCATTGTGCTAGGCACTGAACAAAAGGATAGATTGCAAGTTCTTGGGGACAGGGAATGAGATCATGTCTATACTTACATGCCAGAGATCAATCTTCTGGCATTTGATTTAGCAGGTTAAGACCCCCTAAATTGAATGCTAAGGGTGGCTCTGGTTGGTGCCGGTACTCCTTGCAGTTGCGAGGAGCAAGAGAAGTCGATGGGAGCATTTGCTCCCATTATCCTCCCACTGTGAAGATGGTGCCAAGCGTAGCTTAAGGTAAGCACACTCCAGCTATGTTAATTACATAGCTGGAGTTGTGTACCTTAAGCTAACATTTGGGTCTAGTGTAGACCTGGCGCAAACATAAGACAAAAGACAACAGATGGATGCAAGAAATAGGGCTCTCCCTTAGTTTTTTGACTTTATGTACCACCACTAAGCGTCAAATCCCATACAACATACAGAAATAGAATGTAAGGACAGAATGGACCACCAGCTCTTCTAATCTGACCTCCTGCATATCACGGGCCACCAACAACACCCAGCACCTACACAATAGACCCAATAACTGAAATTAGATAAAGTATTGCAGCCCACAGAAGACTAAGCTATTATTTGCCACTCAGAGAGAAAAAGAGAGGACAGCAAACCAGTGCCTGAGGACTTGCAATAGCAGGGACATGTTAAAGTGAGATATGCCTAGATAATCATGAAGTGTACCATACCCACAAACTGCACAAGAAGCCAAAGTCACTGCCAATTTCTCTTGGTGGAAAATTCTTTCCTGACCCCACATAAAGTGATCAGTTATACTTCGAGTATATGAGCAAGAACCTGCCAACCAAGCACTTGAGAAGGAGAATGCCCTGGCCCTCTATGTCTTGTCTCATTTTCAGCTGTGGTAATCTCTGATGTGTCAGAGAAAAAAGACAAAAAAAAAATCCCTTAAGAATATATTAGGGAGGAAAAAATCCCTTCTTGTAGGTGACTGTTTGAAGTCCTAAAGGATGAGCTTTAGGAAACAGTACTCTACCATCAAAAGCAGCCCCATCATATAATTACACTTATAAAATTATCACATTCTATCTTAAAACTAGTAATGTTATTTGCTTCCACAACTCCTGTTAGAAGCTGTTCTAGAACCACGCCCCACTGATGGTCAGAAACCTTCTTGTAAATTATAGTCTGAATTTGTTTCATGTTGGTCCTTGTACCAACACTGTCTTTCAGTTTAAGTAGCTTTTTACTCTCAGTGCTGTTTACTCCCTGGTGTATTTCTAGAGAGCAATCATATCCCCATGTCCTTAGGACCTGCTTCTCTCAGGTGAAATAATGCTATTGCAGTGGTAAAAAGAAGCAGGGTATTCAGTGCACAATGCTGACAATACAATAGTCAGTTTTTGTTTTCCTCAATATCTAACCCTGGGGAAATCACCTAATCCTTTTGGCTGTGCCTGAGTTTGCCTGTCTGTAAAATAGGTATACTGTCTCTTTCACAGAGGTGTCTCAGAGGCATATAATTGGCTAGTGTTAATAACAAATATTTGTAATCCACTAAAAAAGTAACCTATAAAGTATTAGTGGTGTAATTGTATTGAATTAATGTGGAACTCAATAGTCACAGTGAAAATTCAATGCACACTCGTGATTATTATTAATAGGTATTGCTTTCAATTATTTATTTCCCTCTTTAAAAGGGAAATTCATGGTGTAATGGGTATGCCCTCTAGTGGAGAGAGGTATGAAATAGGATTACAGTAACACTAATGGCATGCAGTTCAGCTTATAAAACCTCACATCAAGCTGCTGCACAGAGATTTCTTATTTTATTAGATATAAGTAATAGAGGAGGAGAAAGAACTGGAGCTACTGGTACATAACAGAATGACTGTGTTCCACCAATGTGATACAGCCATGAATAAGGTTAATGCGATCAGGTGAGGTGTTTCCAGTAGAGACAGGGAAGTATTATTTCCATTATAGAAGTCACTCATGAGACCTCATGTGTGTATTCTGGTCTCCCATGTTTGAGAAAGATGAATTCAAACTGGAACAGGTTCAGTGAAGGGCTACTAGGATGAGCAGAGGAATCGAGAGCTTGCCTTATGAGAGGAGAGTTAAGGAGCTTGCTTCACTTAGGCTAATCAAATGAAGGCTGAGGAGACCATATGATTGCTCTCTAAAAAACACATCAGAGGAATAAGCATCAGGGAGGGAGAGGAGTTATTTAAGAAAGGGCCAATGTTGACACAAAAACAAATGACATAAAATGGTCATCAACAAATGATCCCTGAAATTAGGCAAACATTTCCCAACCATTATAGAAGTGAAATTCTGGAACCGCCTTCCAAAGGCAGCAATGAGACAGAAAAAACTGTCTTCCAGATTGAGCTTGATATGGTTAGGAAAGGGATGATAAGATGAGACTCCCAACAAAGTCATAGGCTACGTCTAGACTACATCCCTTTTTCGATAAAGGGATATAAATTAGGCATGTCGACATTGCAAATGAAGACGGGATTTGAATTTCTCATGCTTTGTTTGCCTAATAGCGGCCGTCACTTTTTTCCAAAATGGGGCTCATTCGAAAAAACCCAGCAATTTAGATGGGGAATTTTTGACAGAAATGCTCCATTTCAAAAGATCTTATACTCCTCAGAAAGGGTGTATCTAGATTATGCTGAATGGTTGAAAGAGGATATGCAAATTCCGTTGGAATTTGCATATCTTCTTCTCGTTGCACTTATGAAAGCAAAGCTTATGAAAATGAAATGAATTAAAATGCGGCTTTTTCAGCAACCCGCCCCTTTCATC